AGGCCGAGCACAGTAGCTCACGCCTGTTATCCCAGCACTTTGAGAGGCTGAGGCGGGCAGATCACAAGGTCAGGAGATCGAGACCATCCTGGCTAACAAGATGAAAACCCCATCTCTACTAAAAATACAAAAAATTAGCCAGGCATGGTGGCACGTGCCTGTAGTCCCAGCCACTTGGGAGGCTGAGGCAGGAGAAACATCTGAACCCAGGAGACAGTGGTTGCAGCGAGCCACAGTTGCAACACTGCACTCCAGCCTGGGCGACAGAGCGAGACTCCATCTCAGAAAGAAAAAAAAAAAATTTAAAGAAAACTGTGATGATGACAGCAATAATGACTAAAGATTTTGAACACTTTCCATGTGGTGGGCATTATTCTAATGCTTTATGTGTACTAACTCGTGTAAGAACACAATAACCCATGAGAGAAATAATTTTTATTTCCATTTTACTAGGAGAAAACTGTGTCACAGAAACCCTCAGAAACAGGCCGGGTGCGGTGGCTCACACCTGCAATCCCAGCACTGTGGGAGGCTGAGGCGGGTGGATCAGGAGGTCAAGAGATCGAGACCATCCTGGTCAACATGGTGAAACCCCGTCTCTACTAAAAATACAAAAAATTAGCTGTACATGGTGATGCGTGCCTGTAATCCCAGCTACTCAGGAGGCTGAGGCAGGAGAATTGCCTGAACCCAGGGGGCGGAGGTTGCAGTGAGCCCAGATCGCGCCATTGCACTCCAGCCTGGGTAACAAGAGCGAAACTCCGTCTCAAAAAAAAAAAAAAAAAAAAAGAAACCCTCAGAAACTCAACTCAGGTAAAACAGCTAAAATGCAGCAGAACAAGCCCTTGAACCTAGGCATTTGGGACTAAAGAATTAGACACTTAAGTAACACATACAGCATCAAAAGTACTTTGGCAAAGAATTCCCTGAAAAAAAAAAAACGAGTTTCCATCTAACAACATGAAACTGCATAAAAGGTCATTACACATACATACACATGCACGCACATAATTAGTATTACTATTCGTTAACTCATTAATGTGATGATGTAGGAAAAAATTTAAGGCTATGGAAAATATTTCAGATATAAATATCTGAACAGTTTAAAAATACACAACTGGCCGGGCGCGTGGCTCACGCCTGTAATCCCAGCACTTCGGGAGGCCGAGGTGGGCGGATCACCTGAGGTCAGGAGTTCAAGACCAGCCTGACAAACATGGAGAAACTGCATCTCTACTAAAAATACAAAATTAGCCAGGCATGGTGGTGCATGCCTGTAATCCCAGCTACTCAGGAGGCTGAGGTAGGAGAATCGCTTGAACCCGGGAGGCAGAGGTTGTGCTGAGCTGAGATTGTGCCATTGTACTCTAGCCTGAGCAACAAGAGCAAAACTCTCTCTCTCTCTCTCTCCTCTCTCTCACACACACACACACAAATCGGAGCTAGAATAAAAACACCCTCCCTAAGGTGTTTCTGAACTTTAGATTCCATTCCAAACCGTAACAGTTTTGGAGCCAGAAACATACTGGTTCATGTGTTTATCTTCGAATGTATTACCAAATCAGACAAACAGAATTCACCGAATCAGTCTCCTTTGCTAGGGTTTCCTAGGTACTTATGCACATGAGTAGGTGACTTCCACATCCAGCTTCTCTAATCCTGGTCCACAGAGACCTCACAGTATATCCAGATGTGGCCGCTAAACAATCCCTGTTGTGCGACTGCCCTGACACCATGCGGCCCACACCTGTGTCTGTCCATGTCTGGGGTGAGCCCTTCCCAAGACCACGCCCGGTGCAGCCTCTTCCCAAGTTCATGTCACTGCATCACAGCCAATGGCATCTAAGTGAGATGAGATGGACTGAGGGAAGGCATGGGTGAGTGCCAGCAAACCTGTCAGGCGGGACGCTTTAGACTCAGAGATTTGCAGCTTCAAAGAAAGAGATTTCAGAAAGGAAAGAGAAACAGAACAATGTCCCAAGAATATCGCTTTACCTGAGGAAGAGCCATCCCTGTCTCCTTTTTCTTTCCCCTTTCTTCTCTTCTGGACTTCTTCAGGCAACATGAGTCTTTAGAGGTCAATCTGGAATGTGAAAAAGAAGTTATTTAATGCTTAGAATCAACACACCCACTTCCTTCCACAACCACACACACAGGGAAGACCTCTCCCCATGCAAAGACGGTCCTTCGCCACCCACTGCATCAGGAATGATGGAGGAACAAGAAACTTGCAGAAAGACCAGTAGGTGAGTCTGTCACCCCTTTCTTCAGAACCCGCTGTCCTCCTGGAGAAGCCCACATGCACGCTGCAGCAGTGGGGAGCTGGGCTGGACTGAGCTTCCCTTCAGGGCACAGACCTGGCCTTGAGCAAGCCCCATGCAGAGCACAGCACCCTCACCTCTCTGTGGATCCCAGGCTGAGCTCAGCCCTCAGAAATGGAGGACACAGTCTGTAATCCCAGCACTTTGGGAGGCCAGGATGGGCAGATCACCTGAGGTCAGGAGTTCGAGACCAGGCTGGGCAACATGTTGAAACCCCG